AGGGTGGTGACTGTTTCAAGTAGGAATTATTAATAAATTCCAAAGCAGGCAAGTGGAGGCTTATGGAAGTACAGGATATTGGTTACTTTGGAATACCTTACTATAAAATATTTATCAGTCACAAAGATAAATATGGCGACTCTAGAGTGAAAAAAACTGGCAGAAAGTGATCTGACCAGGTGACCAAGGTTTGGCATCATCTGGGGTTGGCCAGAGTGACATTATGTACCTCTCCGTGGAATGCAGTATGAGGAACAGAGCAATAAGTCTGTGCTATTTCTGCAAAAATACATGCTCTGGTTCTGGTCATGAGGAGACACTGGATGAACCCAGATTGAGCGACATCCTGTGGAATGAAAGGCTTGTCATCCTGTCGAGTTCAAGAAAGACTGGAAAAGATGGACGAACTCAAGAGACATAACAACTAAGTGCAGTGGCTGGAAGAACTAAACAGACATTTCTCCAAGGAAGACATACAGATGGCTAACAAACACATGAAAAGATGCTCAACATCACTCATTATCAGAGAAATGCAAATCAAAACCACAATGAGGTACCATTACACGCCAGTCAGGATGGCTGCTATCCAAAAGTCTACAAGCAATAAATGCTGGAGAGGGTGTGGAGAAAAGGGAACCCTCTTACACTGTTGGTGGGAATGCAAATTAGTACAGCCACTATGGAAAACAGTGTGGAGATTTCTTAAAAAGCTGGAAATAGAACTGCCATATGACCCAGCAATCCCACTTCTGGGCATACACACCGAGGAAACCAGATCTGAAAGAGACACGTGCACCCCAATGTTCATCGCAGCACTGTTTATAATAGCCAGGACATGGAAGCAACCCAGATGCCCATCAGCAGACGAATGGATGAGGAAGCTGTGGTACATATACACCATGGAATATTACTCAGCCATTAAAAAGAATTCATTTGAATCAGTTCTAATGAGATGGATGAAACTGGAGCCCATTATACAGAGCGAAGTAAGCCAGAAAGATAAAGACCATTACAGTATACTAACACATATATATGGAATTTAGAAAGATGGTAACGATAACCCTATATGCAAAACAGAAAAAGAGACTCAGATGTATAGAACAGACTTGTGGACTCTGGGAGAAGGCGAGGGTGGGATGTTTCAAGAGAACAGCATTGAAACATGTATATTATCTAGGGTGAAACAGATCACCAGCCCAGGTTGGGTGCATGAGACAAGTGCTCGGGCCTGGTGCACTGGGAAGACCCAGAGGGATCGGGTGGAGAGGGAGGTGGGAGGGGGGACCGGGATGGGGAATACATGTAAATCCATGGCTAATTCATTTCAATGTATGACAAAAACCACAGCAATGATGTAAAGTAATTAGCCTCCAACTAATAAAAATAAATGGAAAAAAAAAAGTGCAGTGGCTGATACTGAATTGGATTCTAGATCACAAAGTAAAAAATGGACATTGTTTAGAGCAACAGCTGAATGTGGCCTGTATATGGTGGTGCCATAATGAGGGAAAGGGTTTATGTCTGTTTTGGAGATACACACACTGATCTCAAGAGACAGAAAAAAGAACAAGAATAGTTAGCGTGCCTGTGTGTGGTTTGTGTGTGTGTGTTTATGTGTGTAGGGTGGGGACCAAAGATATAGCCCAAGGTTGACAACTGAGAAATCTGGGTGAAGAAGATATAAGCTCTCTTTGTACTGCTCTTGCAACACTTCTTTTTTATGTTTTTAGTTTTAAGTTTATTACCATACCTATTTTAATTTTTTAATTGAAGTATAGTATTATGTAAGTTACAGGTGCACAATATTCACAATTTTTAAAGGTTATACTCTATTTATAGTTATTATAAAATATGTCCTTGTATCCTTTTAAAAAATCTTTTGACTTCACTGCATAGGGTGCGGCATCTTATTTCTCTGACCAGGAATCTAAACTTCACCCCCTGCGGTGGAAGCAGTGTCTTAACCACTGCACCACCACTTTATTTTACACCTGATAGTTTGTACCTCTGACTCCCCTCCGCCTATACTGCCCCTCCCCCCTTTGCTCCCCCCTTGGTAATTACTACCATTAATAGAGTGTCTCTAGTTTTGTTATCTGCTGCTTCTTTTATTTATATTCACTAGTGTTCTATTTTTTAGATTTCACATATATGTGATATCATACAGAATTTTTCTTTCTCTAACCTAGTTCACTTAGTGTTAATGCCCTCCAGGTCCATCCACGTTGCTACAAATGGCAAAGTTTCATTCTTTTTAATGGCTGAGTAGTATTCCATTGTATGTAGATGCCACATCTTCTTTACACATTCGTCTGTTAATAAGCACTTTGTTTTCATATCTTGGCAATTATGAAAAGCTGCTATGAACATCGGGATTCATGTATCTTTTCAAATTACTGTTTTTGGTTTTTTTGGATACACACTCTGGAGTAGAATGGCTGGATCATATGGTCATTCTATTTTTAGTTTAGTTTGTTTTGGTTTTTTTTTAGTTTTAGTTTTTTGAGAAACCTCCATACTGCTTCCCATGGTGTGCTTCTGCATCATTTCTAAACATGTAATGCTACTGAACAGTCAGAGCAAGTTTTGTGATTTCAAGTGAAAGTCAGTTTCAGTCTGAGGCATTTCTCATGCCCCCACACCCTAATCTCAAATCTAATCTTGAAGAGAATCATTCTCTCCACACCAGGAATTTGTTTGTTTATTTATTCAACAAACATTTTCATGTACTTAGTACAAGGCACAAAGTATGGGTCTCGATGACAACAAAGGTAGAATTAAGCTATGGAGCTCAAAAGTAAGAGACCGTATTTCATTGAGAAGACAAGCAAGGTTTCATAAAAATGAGGTTTGAGAGAGGATAAAATACAGTCAGGGAGAACCAGGAGGAAGGCATTCAAAGCTGAGGGAGGAGACAGAGCAATGTCATATAGTTAAGGAAATAGGACGAGTGTTTGCAGCAGTACTGTTTGGATTCTAAGGGGCAGAAACCTATTAAACCTTCTCAAGAACAAAGAGACCTTATCATTGCCTACACATAGGAAGTATATAAGTAGTCTTGCTTCAGGTATAGTTCAAACCAGATACCTACAATATGCCATTGGGACCAGATTCATCATCTAGAGTGGCTCTGCTTCCCTCAGTTTTGACTTAATTCTCAAGTCATCTCTCCCTAGTACGAGTACTAGTTACTAGTAGTTACTACTAGTAGTAGTAACTACTAGTAACTAGTACTGGTTACAGTTGATAGGTTCAAGAACCTCAGTGGAAAAAAGAGTCTTTCTTTCCCAATCGTTTGGGAAATAATTAAACACAAATTATGCCCATTGGTGTAGCTTCAGTCACATGACTATTTCAGAATCAATCATGATACAACGAATGGAATACTCTTAATTGCCTGTTCTTGTCATTATTCTTTACTAGGGTGAGAGATAGGGTTAGCCCCCAAGAACCACAAAGACTGAGAGTTGAAGGGGAGCAGTCTCCCAAAGCAAAACTCAAGTGCTATAACCAGAAGAAGAGGCAATGGACTGGAGCAATCTTCACTCTGCTATTGAGTGTTTGGGGAGCACTGACTGGTCCAAAATGATTCTAACATGGGCCATGTTATTAATAAAAGAAGAATAGTAATTACAGTGGGAAGTCGTGTCCTGCTCTTTGAGACCCCATGAACTGCAGCACGCCAGGCTTCCCTGCCCTTCACTATCTCCCTGAGTTTGCTCCAACTCATATCCATTGAGTCAGTGATGCCATCCAACCATCTCATCCTCTGTTGCCCCCTTCTCCTCTTGCCCTCAATCTTTCCCAGCATGAGGGCCTATTCCAATGAGTCAAGTGATTGTTTGGAAGGTCTTAAATACTAGACTAAGACTATGGTTCCTTACTTAACGCATTAGAGCAGGGATTGGGAAGCTCTTTTCATAAAAAAGCAGATTGAAAATGTTTCAGGCTGTAAAGGTGATATGGTCTCTACTCATCTCTGCCATTGTAACATGAAAACAGCCATAGAAAATATATAGACAAAAGAGCATGTCTGTGTTCCAATAAAACTTTATTTATAAGAATAGGTGGTGGTCTGGATCTGGCCTATGGGCTGTAGTTTGCAGATACTTGGATAAAGGAAGTCATTGAAAGTTTTCAGCTTACAAATGATATCATCAGAATTATGTCTTGGGAAGATGCATCCACATCCCGGATGGAAAATGGATTGGAGGGAATAGACTGAAAGTAGGAATAAAAATTAGGAGACTGTTGCAATGGTCCAGATGTTTGTACTGTGAAGAAACCACAGCTTTTATAAGCCAAATGTACCTGGGAATTTGGCCTCACAAATTTCAGCTGGCTCACAGCTGGGTCTGTCTGTCCTTAGCTGACCTAGTTTCTCAACATCTTGCCAGTTCAGCCACCCCTGAAATCCTAGCCACCTCTGAAATCCTGTGTCGGAGTTTGTAAATCACCTTGGGAGCTTGATTATTCCTGTTCTTTGCTCTACAGTATTTTTGATTTTGAGGGCTAAGTCTGGACTGTTTGTATGAAAGGGCAAAATCAATAGCAAGAGAAAGTTTAATAAAAAAATACATTCTCCATTGACTTTAATTAACTTGGCTTTAAGTTTACAACTCTGACAAGGATGGAAAATAGAAAAAAAAACCCAAACTTATATCTTACCCTATACACCATGTTTTTTTAAGAATAAACTCTCAAATTAAAATTCATATGTATCAGCAATTTATTTGCCAGCAACAAGTGGAAGAAAGAGAATAAGAAAGATAAAAGCAATTCTCTAGTAGGATCTGACAGAACAGGCTGGCACTTCTGATGCTCATGGTAAATGACTGAGTGCCAGAATCAGGTCAATAATTTATTGATGTCAGAAAATCTTGCATTTTTCTCAGCTGCTCATGGCTTTGCTGTCTTCTCCAGTCTCATGACTCAAGACTCACAGTCTTTTAAGACCTGTCTCCTCATCCATTCNTGATGTCAGAAAATCTTGCATTTTTCTCAGCTGCTCATGGCTTTGCTGTCTTCTCCAGTCTCATGACTCAAGACTCACAGTCTTTTAAGACCTGTCTCCTCATCCATTCAGCACGGCTGCTTTCTGCCTGAGGGCGGGGTTCTCTAGTGAGGAGCAATGACGTGGCTAGCTGTCTTCTGCCAGATGCCTGCAGAGAAAGCCCATGAATTTGCAGACAGTTCATATAAGTGTGAGATTTTCCTAACATTTACAGTGACACATAACTATCTGTAGATACGTGTGCCAGTGTAGTACATAAGCGCACACACACGTATATGGGGTGCCACTTTAGTCCATAAACTCACGTGTACATTCAATTGTGGGCTTACCAGGTGGTTCAGTGGTAAAGAATCTCCCTGCCAAGCAGGAGATGTGGGTTCAATCCCTGGCTCAGGAAGATCCCCTGGAGAAGGAAATGGCAACCCACTCCAGTATTCTTGCCTGGGAAATTCCTTGGATAGATGAGCCTGGTGGGCTACAGTCCATGGGGTCACAAAGAGTTGGACACGATTCAGTAACTGAACAACAACAGCAACATTCAGTTGCACAATAAGTATGTGAGTGGACATCCATTATCATGGGTATAGCATATCTAGACATAATAAAAAGAATATCACACAAATATATATATGCAAGTTATAATTTTCTATATGTGTATAGCATACTTAAACAGTAAAAATACACATAAGGCTAAGTGCATTTTAGACTAAAAATACAAACATGCCTGTTCATGTACTCCATATACATGCACAACACTTTGTATATTACCTATATGCTTTATATGATCTGGTCTCCAGTATTTCTCTGACCATATTCCCTATAACATATTCTCCCTCCATCTTTACATTCTAAGATATTCCTTGCTGTTCCATAGCGTCTGATACATTGTCACCTCAAGGTCTTTGCAGTGGTTATAACTGGAAAATTCTACCCCACAGCTATCACATAGACTATTATCTCACTTCCTATGTCTTTGTTCAAACATCAGCTTCTCAATGAAATCTACATAGCACTCTATTATCCTGTTTAAAATTGCAAACCACCCACTCCAGCCACATTCTGATCTCAGTCTATTGTAGCACTTACCTTCTAAGATATCATTTAATTTATTTATTATGTTTACTCGTTAACATTGCCCCCACCAGCCTGGAATATAATTTCTAGAAGGGGCAAGGATATTTGTCTTGTGTGTTCACAGATATATTCCAAGCCTCTGGAACAGAGCCTGACTCATAGGAAACATTTGGTTTATTTGTTGAATGAAAGAGTGAATATATAAATTCATATATGAATATGTTATGTAAATATTCATAAATCAGCATGTATATATGTGCTTGTTGAACCATATCCATCTATAAAGAATGGCAACATCCATCCCTATGGAAATATGCATTGTGGTGTAATCTGAATACAGGTGTGTGTGTGTGTGTAAATGTGTGTTTGTGTATATACACAAAGAAACACAGACCTTGGTTATGGGTGTGTGTATGCATGTGCACCAAAAGTATTTGTTACTGTTAAGTGTGCTCAGCAAAATTCATACTAGGGTATGGAAAGAGTTGGATCTCAGTCACTCTCTGTGACTCCAGCTACAGGAACCTATCATTACAATCCATAGAAAGGTAAGTTCAGGGTAATAAGAACTTTTGGAAAAGAAACTTATTGCACACTGGAACACAGATTTTGGACTCCAAGAACCACGTTAGTTCACAGGACGTAAAGGTTATGCATTGACTCTGTCTTCTGTTACACTTGACAACTAACACAGAATTTCAACTTTGAAAACTTTGCCGTAAGGAGAGCTAGAGGAACAAGGCAGAATAACTTTTACTGCTTTAGATCTGGGCTCAAACATGTCTCTCTCTTTTAAGACTTCCATCGGTTTCAACCTGGGGAATATGAATGAGATGAGAAGTTTGAAGTCGGAAGCCTTGAGTTTTGGAGATTTGAAAAAGTAGAAAAAGTCACATACTTCTCTGCTTCCATCTTCACTCTGTGTGTGTGTGTGTGTGTGCTTGTGCATGCATGTGTGTAATGGGGCAGGGAAATGATAGAAGATATTTTGATTTTTCCACTAACGTAACAGGCCAGTTCCTGATCTGAGCCTCCCAGAAGCAGTTAGATAGAAGCAGCCCATTGGAGACTGAAGACACCCCTGAGGCTCCTTGAGAATTTTCTAGAACTACCAGAATGTGAATTATCCTTATCTGGCTTTCTGACTGCCTTGTGACTCCTCTAGAGACATGGCAACTTTCCAAGACCTAATCTCTCTCATCCTTTGCTCTTTGACCTAAAAATATCTATGACATATTGTGAGACACAGCTATGGTGACCATATGATTTATTGGCCAAATTGAGACCCTTTAAAGGGTGTGTGCATGCTCAGTTGCTCTGTTGTGTCCAATTCTTTTGTGACCCCATGGACTATAGTCCTCAAGGCTCCTCTGTCCATGGGATTCTCCAGGCCAGAGTACTGGAGTGGGCTGCCATTTCCTCCTCCGGGGGATCTTCCTGACCCAGGGATCTCCTACATTGGTATGTAGATTCTTTACCACTGAGCCACCTGGCAAGCCCTGATAAAGGGGATTATATTGCTAATTTTGTCTCTTCTGCTGTTCTTCTTCCCTTTCATCCTATTTTCCTTCCTTATTTATTCACATGACTGGTTTTTTAAAGTTAAACATATTTTGTGCTTTATTCTGCATCAAATATAAATATGTCATACCAAACCCTAGAGTAGATGTAAGATGTTAGAAATCTGTGATTCTCAGAGAAAGATAAGCAATTGGAAAAAGTTTCTCTTCTTTCCATATTTTTCTGGTCCTGGACTTTTGTTTGTTGGAAGTTTTAATTTTTTATTTATTTTTAAATAAACTTTTTATTTTATATTGGTGTATAGTCGATTAGAGATGTGATAATTTCAGGTGGACAGCAAAGAGACTCAGCCATACCCAAACAAGTTCCATTTTCCCCCAAACTCTACTTCCATCCAGGCTCCCATATAACATTAAGCAGAGTTCCCTATGCTATACAGTTAAGACCTTGTTGGTTATCCATTTTAAATATAGCAGTGTGTACATGGAAGTCCCAAACTCCCTAAATATCCCTTCCCTCCACCCTTCCCCTTTTTCATATGATTATTGAGTATGTATTTTGCACCAGCTACTGTGCAGGTCCTTAGGCATACTCTGATCTGCAAAAATAATGGTCTATGTCCTGACAGAGCTTTTGAGTTTAGAAAGAGAGATGCTGACTTCTACCAACAAATAGTTCTTGGGTACCTACTATGAATTTGGTTGCTATTTTAGATACTGTGACATAGAAATGATCAAAATAAATAAAGTCCTTATCCTGCCCTTAGGAAACTTGGAAACAGACATAAATGAATGTGTCCTTATAAACCATCATTCCTTCTCTGTAGGAAAGAGGTGCAATGCTAGGAAAATCAAATAACACCCAATTCTAGTCTGGGGTCAGGAATGACTCCTCTGAGGAAACGATGTTTGGGTGCAGATGAGTGAAGGGGTTGAGAGATCCTTTGGAGCAGAGGAAGGAGCATGTGCCAGGGTCTTGAGACAAGAATAATCATGGTGTCTCTAAGGAAAAAGGAGATCGGAATCCAGATGCATGGTGGAGGTGGGTGGTAGATGACATGAAGTGAGTCTGGAGGAAGCAGGAACAGACTCCATGGAAAATTTTAGCCTGAGGTGAGACTGTGCTTCCCACCTGTTTGCCGAGGGAGGTGGTATGTCCTGAGACAGTTCCTGGGGTGTTTCAGCAGCTTCACAGAGTACTTAGGAAGATGAGCCTGAGTTTAGCCCCGCAGACAGAGTCTACGGCTCTGATAAGACCCAGAGAACAGTCAGACGCCTTCCTGTGTGGTCGCACACAGGACAGGAAGTGGCAGTGAGAACTGGTGGGACAGAGGAAGCCCGCGGTCATGATAAAAAGTGGCAGTCTCGTATGAACTAATGAGACTATGCCTGGGGGGGTACTGTTTATATTCATGCACTTATTTAGTTCTATTTATTGAGTCCCTAGAATGAGCCAGGAACTTTGTTAGGCAGTGGTACCATGATAGATGTCATTTCCACCACCAAGGGAATTACATTCTACTTGATAGAATAGGTCTAAGCACCATATTTTAAGATGGGCAGTGAAAGCTAGAGTCTGGGCCTGATAAAAATGATAAAGGATCTAGACAGCAGAGCCCATGAAGAGCGCTGAAGATTAAAGGTCAACATGGTGATTGCCTTTCTAATCTCCATAGGAGAGGGCGCAGGGGTATTCTGTTTTATTTTAGGAGGTGAGAATTGAGCAGGGGTTAAGAGTTCTGAAAAGGTCTGGTCTGGTTAAAGAAAAAAAAAGAAGAAAGAAGTCTGTTTTCATGGTTAGAAAGGTCTGGGGATATAGTAAATTTCCCTTTTACAGGAAAGGCTTTGATCTGGTGACCATCCAATACAGATACTGTAGCAGGAACCACTCCCAGGGACCAAAGATGAGCTGAGATTCTGCAGTCTCCTAAGGGACACAGACATACACATATAATGTAAAGAAGTAAACCTAAGAGTGGGGCGATGAAGTGAGGTGGTGAAGAGGAATGGTTAGTTGTGCAATACAGTAGGCTCAGGCTTCCTGGTTGTATCACTGGTGGTAGGTACTTCATTAAAACATGCCATCTCAGGGGCTTCCGTGGTGGTCCAGTGGTTAAACTGCCTTCCAATGCAGGGGGTGAGGGTTCGATCCCTGGTCAGGGAGCAGAGACCCCACATGTCTCATGGCTAAAAAATTAAAAGATAAAGTAGAAGCAATAATGTAAAAATTCAACATGCCATCTCAGAACTCTGGCAGATAAAAGGATATCCTCTCAGGTTTGGGAACAGAAATAGTCTCAAGAAGAATCATGGTGTCTCTAAGGAAAAAGGAGATCGGAATCCAGATGCATGGTGGAGGTGGGTGGTAGATGACATGAAGTGAGTCTGGAGGAAGCAGGAACAGACTCCATGGAAAATTTTAGCCTGAGGTGAGACTGTGCTTCCCACCTGTTTGCCGAGGGAGGTGGTATGTCCTGAGACAGTTCCTGGGGTGTTTCAGCAGCTTCACAGAGTACTTAGGAAGATGAGCCTGAGTTTAGCCCCGCAGACAGAG